CCCCCCCCCCTCTCAACCAACTTCCTCCTGACTGCTTTTCTGTTTTGTTTCTTTTTGGTTTTGGTTTTGTTTTGTTTGTCTACCCTCCCTCCCAAATGTAAAGCGTCTTTGGGTTCAAGAAAAGCGCTATAGAAATATAATTTATTATTATTATTATTATTTTGGGGCTGTTCCCATATTATACGTGATACGCTAAGGGGCGGAACATCTGTAAGCGGTTGACCAATCACAACAGAGCCGGCCAGCTAACCAATCAGAGCAGACTGGGCTCTGGTTTCAGACAGAGGGTGAAAAGAGGTGCTGCAGCACAGGCAGTATGATAAAAAGAGCTTTTTGAACATTAAAGCATGGAAACATGTCACAGTAGAGACACAGAATAGAAATATGAACCTGTAAATGAGCAGAATATATAAACACTGTTTGAGTGCTATCTTAAAAATCATTGTTTTCTCCTCATCCTGTTGCTCAGGCAGGAGAAACACTTGACTGTTTTGGAGCACCTGGTCTCGGCTCTCAACATCTTCTTGAGGTGTGCGGCCATGAACTGTCGGATGAGGGTGTGTCAGCTGGGAGAGGAGCTCCTGCCGTCTGTCCTGTATGTTTGGGCGGACATGAGGCCCAGCGCGGCTCTCAAAGAGGAGATCGTGGAGTTCTTCAACCTGCAGATCTGTGTTCACCACCCCCAAGGAGCCAAGGCACAGGATACAGGTGGGGTGATAGTTCCTTTAAAACTATTTTGGTTTGTTGTTGAGTAATAATCATTTCATTTCATTTCCTTTTGATTAATTTTTTTATGAACAGTTTAAAAATATAAGTAAAATCAGAAAACATAATGGAGACATTTGAAATGGGACCCCCTGATAAGCTATATGAAGCTTAATAATAAGCCCAGACACTAAACATGATGGGATCTAAGCCTTTGCAGACATTTACATGCACAACAAATTATATATGACACCCAGGAAAGGAAAAACCCCAAGAAGCATGATAGGAACTCCAACCATTAACTAGTTGTCCCTTCTCTCATATTTCAGGAGCTCATGCTGAGGACTGGAGCCGGTGGCGCAGTCTGCTCTTCAACCTGTACGAGGCTTTAATCAGAGAGATCAGCCATTTAGGCAGCAGGGGGAAGTACGTCACAGGGACCAGACACATAGCCGTCAAAGACAACCTCATTGAGCTCACAGCGGACATCTGTCATCAGGTAACACTGACCAGCAAACAGGAAAACACAATAATTAATTTGATGTTGATTATAATATAATTAGTATTTAAAATGCTGCCTTTCCTTCTTGTGTTTCCTGTATGCAGCTGTTCAGTGAGGATAATGACGCCCACGTCTTGGAGGTGACCCAGGCCTCCCTCAGAGCCTCCCACATGAGCAGTCCCACCAAAGGAGCCGCCAGCAAGCGGCGCCGCATCGAGCTGGGCTGGGAGGTCCTCCGGGACCACCTGCAGCCGCAGAACAGTGACTTTGATGTCATACCATGGTAGGAAAATCACAATACAATTTATTCTTATTTTCTTTATTGTGAAGGTATGTTTGAAAACTACACATTTAATATACAAATGGTAATGGTCATTTTATTTTAAGATTAGATAAGATAAACCTTAATTGATTCCTGTATGGAAGTAATTCAGGTGTTTTAGCTGCAACGGGAACAAGGGTGAGACACAGGATAGGAAAGACATAAATGTACAATGATAATAATAAAAATAAAGAAATGTAAGAATACAATTTGTAAAAAAAAAGTTGCAGTATACATTTAAATTGTCAACATACAGTATATACACATATGTGTAATTATGGATATGTTACATATATATACATGTCAATTTAGAAGTGAAAAGTAGGTCAATAATGGTGCAGCCATAAGTACACACAATGCAGGTTATTATGAGCAGGGTTCTTACGGTCATTAAAAACATGGAAAAGTCATGGAAATTCAAAATGCAGATTCCAGGCCCTGGAAAAAGTTATGGAAAAAAATATTTTTCCCAAAGTTTTGGAAAAGTCATGGAAATGTTACAAAAGTTGCATGAAATATAATTTATATTTTATCTAATCGCCGAAATCGTAATACTATAATGATAATAAATACTGTATCGTATAGTAATGAAACGTAAAATGGCATTTAACTGACGAGGTATTTTGCTGGTGAGAGATTTGAGTTGCTTTAGTGTTGCCTGGTGTTTCTCTGATTCTACCCACTCAAGATCCTGTAAAGTTTTTGAAACGCTCTCCTCTCCTCTCAGGCTGCAGATCACAGCCGTGCTCACCTCTAAGTACCCGTCCATGGTGCCGTCCCAGGAGCTGGTCCCGCTGCTGTCCGTGTTGCTTCAGTTCCTGTTGGAGCAGCGGAGAGGAGAGAGGGGCCCGTACGTGCTGCGCTGCCTGACGGAGGTGGCCTGCTGCCAGGCCCGCCACCCGGAGAGGACCCAGGTCCACCGGGCGGAGCTGTCCCGGCTGTGGGGGCGGGTCTGGCTCCTGGCCCTGAGAGGGGTGAGCTCTCCCCAGACAGATGCCCTCAGCCTGGACCTGCTGAGCTCCATCGTCCACGGGGGGCTGATCAACATGGACAGAGAGTTCTGGAAGCTCTTCTCTGGATCAGCATGTAAACCGTCCCAGTGAGTCTCCGTCCTTACAGTTTTACATTTGTTAACGTGGCCATGTATGTATTTTAGGGTTTCCCTTTCTGTAGTGTGTTATATAGGTTTTGGTGCATGTAAATGGTCTGCAAAGGCTAAAACCCCTTTGTTCCCTGCAGATGGAGTTTCTCTCCCACACACTCGCCCCCCCTCTGCCTGAAAGGCCTCCATTGGACTCCTTTTGTTTACTTCTGCAACATAGTGACATCATCATCGAACACTTGCACCTCTATTGGCTGCTCGCTCTAACACATTGTACAATATAGGCTAAGGGGCGGGACATCTCTTATCGGATGACCAATCACAACAGAGCCAGCAAGCTAACCAATCAGCGGTTAATCATTTTTTCTCCTGCATATGTATTTTTCTTTTAGTAGCCCTTTTCTCTTTGTATCCACAGCGCTGCTGCTCTCTGTCTAGCACAATCCCTGCTAAAGTGCTCGCCCCCAAAAAGTATCACCCCCAGTTCGGGCTGGGACTGTGTGGGGGTCTCAGAAGGATCACTGAACCTGAAGGAGACCCTCATCGCCTGGCTGCTGATGAGCGATCAGAGCGATGAGATGGAGGAGAGCTCCAGACCTCACCCCATCATATGCAGGTGTGCACCGTGCTCAGGTCTTCTTCTATTGGCCTTTTCATTATAATTGAATCATGTTTTTAACAATTTAGTTAAACCATACTTTTAAGAGGCAACGCAAGACTCACTTTTAATTTGGCTATTAATTGTATTTTTCTATTTCTAATTTGTTCTTAATTGTATTATTTTTGTAATCTTATTTTCTTTATTCTTATTTAATTCTAATTGAATTCTTATTTTTTATGTGATTATTTAATTCCTTGTTTATTCTTATGCATCCTCAGGAACTAAGCTCCAAACATGAGATACATCTATTTGTCTTTGATTTAAGATTCAGGTCTGTAACAAATATACTTGATTATAATGTTTTTTGCAGAGACTTTCCGTACAATCTAATAGCGAACATCCTGGTCTCCCTGACCCTGAAGGACACCAGAACTGGGCTGAAGTTTCTGCTGGGTGCTGAAGGGGTAGAGAGGTGAGGGAAAGTGTTACGAGTGTTTACTAACATGATGGTAAATCTACCTTTTTAACATCCCCTTGTTACACAATCCAAGTGTCATATGTTGAATTTGGGCGAAGAATAATTACATTTTCATTTTTTTTAAAGTGCCTTTTTTCAAGAACAAACCTCCTCTAACGGTAAAGACAACCTGGAAGAGATCGAGAGGCTTTACCTGCAGTTCAGCTTCAACACTCTGCCCTCACCGCTGCAAGAGTTCGACGGATCAGTGAAGACGTCTGAAACTGACGGACAGTTTGCCGTCGTCCCCGGCCTCAGGAACAAGCTGGAGCAATCCCTGCTTTGTGTGGCGGACAACCTGCTCAACTGCTTCTCTCCGGATGTAAGAGGAAGTGTTTGTGTGGATGTGTGTTTACTCTTGAAGTGGCAAACATGTATTAATTCTGATTCTTCCTCCCACAGTCTCAGGCGACCCCTCCGGAGTGTCTGGTGCGCTGCTTCAGTCTGCTGACAGGGGTTTTAGCAGCGTACGTGTCCTCTGGGTTTCTGAGTGAGGAGGAGGCCTGCCGCTCACCGCTCTTCACTAAAGCCAAGGTAACGCTCTCATGCATCCCAGGAGATTCCTTTATTTGGTGGTTAATCATCCCAGCTTCTTAAAGGGGCCCTATTTTGCTTTCTCTGGTTTTCCGTTTCCTGTAGTTGGTTATAAAGGTTCTTGTCCATGTTATCCCCTGCCTAAAACACCTCCATTAGACTCCTTTGTTTACTTCCGTAACATAGTGACATCACTATGTAACACAGTGGCGAACCGTGTCCATCACATCTGGACCTTATGTAGAAACTTCCCGTCCCCGTCCGCCGCCGCCGTGCCCCGTCCCCGCCGTTATAATGTCCTTCTTTTCACTGAATTGTCGTCTTGAAAAGGGTACTCGCAACAATTCCGCAACAACATCATCTTCACCTGTTGCACTTGCCATTTCAACGTTAAAAACAATAAAACGGCATGAATTTCTTCGTGGCATTTATCTAGATTCTCTGTCTCGAGCCAGTTAACTACCGGGCCTTCTAGAATCTGGAGCACCCTGGAACCGAGGGAAACTCTGAAAGAATACGCCCATTGGCTACAAATCAATATATGATTGGTTGATCAAACTGTCAATCCAAAGGTACGCTCCCATTCAGTGGTTGAAGGATATTCTACCCAGAGACCCAGAACAAGATCTGATTGGTTGCTTTCTTTTCTAACACAAAACCACTGAAATGCGTAGTGCATGGTCCGAGAAGGTCAAACAAATCAACGTAACACTGTAATATTACAGATCTACAACACAGATACCATTCTCATTTATTCATTTTACATACATTTTCTTTATAAAATTAAATCGAGTGTTCCAGGGTGTTCTCTGAACACCTTGAAGGCCCTGGCGGTTCACCACTGATGTAACTTCTATTGGCTAGCGCTCCTACACATCCTACGTGATAGGCTAACCAATCAGAGCAGACTGGGCTCTGGTTTCAGACAGAGGGTGAAAAGAGGTGCTGCAGCACAGGCAGTATGAGAAAAATAGCTTTTTGAACATTAAAGCATGGAGACAGGTCACAGTAGAGGAACAAGATACTAATACGAACCTAAGATGAGCATTATAGAGCCTCTTTAAATAATTTGTCAAAGCATGTATTAAGTGTGTCGGTGTGTGTTTGTCACCAGGCTCTGGCCCGGGACTTCAGCGGTTTTGTTTCCGGTGTGAAAGTGAAGATGGCAGAGGAAGGAACCATGAGCACACTGAGGTCCGTCATGAAGCTCTGCACACAGTCAGCCTGCAGAAATAACAAGGTGACGAAAGCCTCCGTCATCATGGGATGCATTAAGCTGAAATCTATGTAACACACCTGACTGGTTTTTCATGGTCAGTGAGTCGGGAAGATTTTTGTTGACCGCAATATCCATCGCACTTGTAATCGCCATCATTTCCACCACAATTACACATCCATGGCGCTTGCAATTGCACCAACAGTAACTGGTGCTGGAATGGGTTGTTTTTTTGCCGGCCTTTTGGATTAAATGGTAAAAACGAATGCAAGCAGTCAAGCACATATTTTTTATGCTTAGCCCCTGGCACCTTCTTTTTTTGGACTGCCTACAGCCTCAATACCAAGCCAATCAACACTGACATATTGAAAATAGGATTCCAAGAGCTATTAGTTATTTCTTTCTTCTTTTCCCAGGATAAAATCTGCCCCATCTGGTCCACTCTGTTCATTATGATTCTGCCGGCCAGTCTGCTCAGTGAACTGGCTGAGATCTGCAAACTGTTGGTAAGATAAAAATGTTGTATATAATACAAAGCAGATATTAGTGGCCTAGGATTAAATAAAAAGAGAGAATCACAAACTGAAACGATGAATTCAACTCACTTCCTTCCCTGTCTCAGCTAAGCAGTGTCTCAAAGAGAGTGAGTGTTCTGGATGAAGACGATCACATGGAGGAGGACTGGGACGTGACCAGAACTCAACAAGGGGACGACATCGACCTGTTTGAGGAGGGGGATGAGTCCACCAGCAGCAACGGGACCCACAGACAGCAGGGAGAGGGCAGTGAGGGCTCCTGTGGGCCGGGTGAGAAGAGATAATAATAATAATAAATACATTGAATTTATATAGCGCTTCTCATCTGCCAAGATAAATCTCGAAGCGCTTCACAGCAAAGGACACTGATACAATTTGAAAGATTAAAAAATAAATAATAATAAAATAAAATAAAAGTCGGAGATAGCGATAAAAATTGCAATACTCCAGGGCCCAGGAGTTCAAAACTTTTAATCTCAATCAGATCCGATCCGATTTTGAAATCCCATTTTTTGTGATCCAGGATCAGACAAGTCGGCCAGATTTTGTCCCTGGAGTTCAAAGCAATTCAGGATAGGATCAGCCTGATCCAGATTACGATTTTTCAAGATGACTAGATCCTGAATATTAGTGCTATAATCCTACCGATCGCCATCTAGTGGATATGAAAAATAATACAAGGAAGTCAAGAGACCACATTGCAGACATCTATTGTCCGCGATTACTTTTGAAAGGTGATGACAGATGATGGACTTTTTTTTTGTTGAAGATATTTTTACTTCAATCTAAATTACATTTGTGATTAACAATCTTTGCTGTTATACTTTTATGAGCATAAACATTTATGTCATCAAGATTTGGTTGAAAACAAAATAGGCCACCACAAACGTGAGCAAAAATGGAAAAATAAAATGTATTTCCCATGAAGGCTAAAAAGTGTGTATTATTTCAGTTAACAAACTTTGCCATCTTATTTAAATTGAAACATATTTTAAAATAAATTGTACAGTACATTTTGCTCTGGTAATCCACTGGAAATCCACCCCTCTGGTGGGATCAGGATAATCCAGTTTTTTGGGATCAAACTGATCCCAATCCTGTGTTGTCGNTTTCGTTTGTATATTTGTATTTATGTTTTCACATTTTTGTCACGTTTTTGATAATAAGTATTACGTCTACAGTTTTTTGACGTTCTGTACCTACCTCCGATTTCATAGGTGTCGTATTTTATTATATACCTAATAATACTACCAAACAGACTTTTCTGTGTCGGAGTCCAAGTTCCAAAAAAATAAACAGTATGCTTGTCATCGATGTCACATCAAAAACTGTTACTTTTAGAATCCAGTGTCCCGAGGAGGTACACGTTGTGTTATTGTCTTTTGTCTTTTATATCACGTTCATTTATAATTTCGCGACACCGTGGTGAGAGAAACATATCAAAAAAGAAAACAAAGAGAAACTTTTATATATTTCGTTACACCAACAAACTCAGATCGTGGCTGCTCCTAATGTTAACTCTTTACAAATGATTGTACATAATAAATAAATAGTACATAAGAATTATGGTAATGTTTTATACATTAACAATACAAAATCTCCTCCTGGAGTTCGATGCGTTTGGTTAAAAAAAGGGAAGGGTAAAGGGGTGGGGGATTCGGGGGTTTTTTTTTGAACCGGGTTTTTCCCTCAACCGGGCCGTCCTTTTTTTCCGAAAATTAAATTTCCCAGAGAACGAAAAAACTTCGGCTAGAGGAGGGGGGGGGAAAAAAGGAGGTTTTTCCGGGGAACCGGGAAAAAGGTTTGAAGGGAAAAGGGGCCGGGGAGGGGGGTTCCAGGGGGGTGCCAAAGGGGTTTTCCACGGGAACCTAGGGGGGGACGTGGGGGGACCCCCCGGGGGGGCCTAAGAAAAAGGGAAAAGGGGGGGGGGGGGGAACGGGACCCCTTGGGGGTGGTCCTCCCAAACGTGGGCAAGGGGGGGGGACGGGACCCCGGGGTCTAAAGGGGGGGAAAGAAGGGGAGGGGGAAGGGGCCAAAAAAAAAGGGGAGAAAACGGGGAAACCCCCCCCAAAAAACCCCCTGTTTTTTCTAATTTAAAAAAATATCGTTATTATTTATCGTTTTTATTCTTAACTTTTTTTTGGGTTGTTCTGGTTCCCAAAAAATTTTGTCCATGTGTGTTCCTATATTTTTATTGGTACATAATTTGGTCTTTTTTGTTGTTTCAATCTTAATTTATTAGATTATTATTATGGGGCAGTAAGTACTGGTGCTTCAAATTCAAATATTTACTAAATAGTCAATTTTGATAACTTTTTTTTGTTTAAATCATTTGACAAACACGTGTATGTGAAAAAAAGAAGATTTATGTTCAATACAATGAATATTTAGGTATTACATTATACATTTGAGGTATTCAGGTAGTGCATCAGACCCTCTCGTATGTCCCTGCCCTCCTCCTCTTCTGAAATACACAAACAAAAGCATACATATTTTAATACGTATAAGTGGTAGCTACAATTAATTAATACTTGAAACACTTTGGTCGTATACTGTAGGGAGCGTGAGCCTAAACACATTGCTAGTTAGCGAACGTTAGCTTACCAAGTAGCATTGTAGTCTAGAAGAAGAATAAGAAGTAGTAGTGATTTGAGTCGTCCTGTAGTCTCTGCGGCGTTGTAGGACTGCCAAAACTCCCACGACAGCTTCTTCTATACCTCGTCTTGCTATAAGCCGCCTCTTTGTTGTGATAAGAAGCCGCACAGCAAAAACAAGCAAACGATCGCTTCCACATCCTCCATTGTTGTGTGTGTTGTGTCGCATTGAAGATGACGTCACAGCAGTTTTAAGCAGCGTCGCTCCGCCCGCCAAAAAGCCGATCCCTCCGCCTACACTGCGTTACTATAGATACCACCCCAGTTCCTAAACTGTAATGGAAACGCTCCATAAAGCGAGCCGGTCCTAACAAGGCCTAACGAGGCTTAACGAGGCCAAGCAAGGCCGGGCTCAGCGCTGCAGTGGAAACGCGCCATTAGTGCTTTAGCTCTGGATGACCTATACCAACAGAGTCACGAGGAAGTCTGAATACTCCCCCTATAAGGATGGCCTAGGCTGACTCTGCAGGAGGACCACACCCAGCGGGTGAGGGGCGGCAACATTCACCCTGTAGTATCTGGCGAATGTGCTCTGGGATGCCCATGTGGCCGCAGCACATATGTCCTTGCACCTTAGGGAGGAACGCTGTGTTCGGCCATAAGGTGACACCTGAGCCATCTGAGTTCCAACTCAGACACGAGCTGTTCACGAACAAGGCCTGAAGCTCGCTTACACGCTTTGCTGAGGTGATGGCAAAAAGGAAAGTAGTCTTAGCTTAGAGCCACTCCAGTTCTGCCTGTAACAAAGGTTCAACAGGAGGCGAGCATAGGGCATCCAGCACGAAGGGCAGGTCCCATGTAGGAGCCCTTGGGATATTCGGGGGGCGAAGCCTCAGAGCTCCCCCTTAAAAAGAGGGATACCAACCTATGGCTCCCACTGTGCTTTTGTCAGCCCTTGCTTGTTGAGCTGATATAGCAGCGACATACACCCTGACGGTAGCGGGACACCGACCGTCGTCCAGGAGGGACTGCAGGAACTCAAGGGTCGTAGGCACCGAGCAATATACTGGGTCCTAATTTCGCCCTTGGCACCACAGTTTCCACCTGTTTTCGTACTGCCTACGAGTAGATGGTGCCCTAGCATTTGAGAATAGTCTTCCTGACAGACTCTATGCAGTCGCTCAGTGGCCAGACCCACAGCTGGAGGCGGCAGGGGTCGGGGTGCCACATCCGACCCTCCAACTGAGACAAGAGGTCCTTCCTGTTGGGGAGACGCCAAGGCGTCCCACAGCAGAGTCTGTTCAGCAGATGGACAGGCCCACACCTAGCTGGGTTAAGCAAGGAAGTTGAACAGGACAGCCTAGCCAGGCGGCTCCTGCTAGAATCAAGCAACACGCCTACCAGGAGCGGGGGCGAGAACACCGCCTTCACTGGTTGAGTTGATAACGAATTCACTTCCACTGGAAATCCACCCCTCTGGTGGGATCAGGATAATCCAGTTTGTTGGGATCAAACTGATCCCAATCCTGTGTTGTTGGTTTGAACTACCCGTTTTGAAGATTTGATCCAGATTAAAGCTTTGATTGGATTTCCTGATCTGATCGGATATCAAATTCATCCTAATCCTGTTTTTTGGTTTTGAACTCCCCAAAATCCAAATCTGATCTGATCAGATAGGGATTAAAAGTTTTGAACTCCTGGGCCCAGGTGTACCATGCTCAAAGTTTATTGGAAGGCCCACATTCAGATAACGTGATCTGAATGGGGAAGACAACATTTGGTAGCATTTATTATGGGAGAGAAACGGAACTCTGGGGTTGTAGCCTTTGCAGACCATTTACATGCACAAAAACCTACAGGAAAGGGAACACTCCAAAATAGCAGAATAGGACCTGATCAAAATATGATATATGATACAAAAGTATTATAATGTTGGTTTTTCTCTCCTCCGTTAGGTGCAAAGAGTCTGTTAGCAGAGGATCATCTGGCCCAGCAGGACCTGGCTCTGCTGGCCGTCCTGGACTTCCTGTGTGAGTGCGGCTCCATGCAGCCCGTCCACGCTCTGCTCTTCAAACCGCAGGAGGTGCGGCGCCGGCTGCTGCTGCTGGCCGAGCAGGTGGACTTCAACAAGGCTCTGCACCTCAACATGGTGGGTCGCAGCAGCTGCTGTGGAGAGAGTCTTCAGAGGCAGTGACGGTTCATCTGATGAGCGTTTGTGTCTGCTTGTCTTCCAGTACCTGCTCCTGCTGAAGAAGCTTCCTGCGGAGGACTCGCTCTCTCCGGAGGATTTTGATACATTGCTTCGTCCTCTAGCGTAGGGAAATCTTTCTGTTATACAGTTTTATTCTAAAAAGCATCAGTAAAATCAAATAGCTTGTGTTTTGAATGTGTTTGTCGTGCTGTGTGCGCAGGGACCTGTGTTCTCTGCACCGTCAGGACCAGGAGATCTGTGCCGCTGTCCTGCTGGGTCTGTTACCCTCCATCATGAGCCTCGGGAAAACCCAACACATCCCAGAGGAGATGAGACACGTTCAGGGGTCTCTGCTGCAAGTGCTGTCTGGATTCTGGTCAGCAGCATCAGTTTATGAACATAAGCATGCAGATTATTTTGAATATGTAAAATGGTTGTCACAGGAAATCATAGTCTTTAAGTGATTAGGTTTCATTATATTTTTAAAGGGATGGCTGCAGTTTAAGAAAGAGAGAGCATGAATCACACATTGAATTCTTATCCACTGTCTGTGTTTCAGTTTTTGAAGCTAACACAATTGCCATGCTGTGTTTCAGTTTCCTGAGCCAAACGGGGAAATGTGTTGCAGCTGTACGAGCCGCTTTAGTGAGATGCCTGGTTGCCTTGCTGGAGGTGAGCTCTCACAGAGGAAGTTATTGTATCTGCGCAACCATTAAATACTGATTTTCTATCTTGATTATATATTTGACTTGGATTATGAGGCTCGGTTATATCATTGACGCAAGTGCTTAAGTGTCACCATTTTAAAGCTGCTTTCAATGTTTTATGTGCACAAACTGATGGACAAGATATCGGCACACTTAGATTCATGCAGGCTTCGACCCTTTTTTACTCCAGTTTGGAGTCGTTGAAGCTTCTAGCACCTTAAAGATGAGCAGACTTTTTGCATTTTGTTGATCCCAAAGTCAGAACTACTCAAAGTTGCCCATGCTGTTAAAATGCAATTCATTAAATGACTGATGCATGATCAGGTTTAACTGTTATCCCAAAATCAAAAGCACTTTCATTTACCTGTCTGTCTAGATTGTTTTCTTGTTGATTTAGCATCGCCCCTTCTTGTGATTCTGACAGGCCGACCCGTGTTGTGAGTGGGCGGTGTTGAGCATCAGAGAGGAGGATCGCCCCGTGTCCGTCCTCCTCCCCTCTCACCTCGCCGACGCACACCACCAGGTCCGCATGCTGGTGGCCATGTCCGTGGAGAGGTGAGACGGTGTTCCTCAAACGTATTTTAAAAATGTCTGCTAAATGTTTCTTCAGCCCCTGACCAGTGCAAATGATCTTTTGTTAAAATATTCGTCTCTCTTTGACTTATTTTTCTGTGTTGGACCAGGTTGTTTCTTGAGATGAGACCAGGACGTTTGGATAAGAGGAAGATGCTGCCGCTGAAACACCAGCAGGC